AAATTTAATTATAAATAGATGTATAATGTTACGAACTTATAGATACTTAAAGTAAATTAATGTAGTTTTGTGTTACAATTTGAAGTCATTCTAGAAAGAAAAAAGCTTAATTTAGATTTATTTCGATTTTGTTTTGGTTACGAGGTCAGTCAAATTGAGATAGGGTAGAGAAAATAACAGATAAACTCTAAAATTTTACTGAAAAAAAACTTTGAAATGCATTTAGGAAGTTTTAGGGATTACACAAAGGAAATTTGAGATTTTTGAGATGAGGAAAAGTATTTTTAATTTTAACATTAAAATTACTTTTCACATGGACTATATTAAAAGTTAGTAGCATCAAATCTATAAAGACTTTAAATGAGTACAAGAAGGTCACGTGGTTGGTCAAATTGACTAAGCCCGTATTGAGAGAGTTAATAAAACATTTTCTTGTTCATATCAAGCACTGAATTATTATCTCTCGAGTGCCTCATGGTGGCACAGCAGTAAGATTGAGGACTTGATACCAGGTTGATACCTGCAATTGGAACATAAAGCAAAATATCATGAATATTGTGTTTTCTACATTAGAAAAACTGGTTTTGAACTCATTCCATGATTCCAGAGCATAACACAAAATCAAGGTAAAAATTATAATAGTGCTTTGGCTATTACAACTCTACTACAAAAAAGCAAACACAATATTTGGATAGAAGGTGTACAGGTGTGTTTCATATAGAAAAACTTACTCATCAATTAGTTTAAATTGGGGGTGGCTTGTTTTACTTTGTATTGAATTTAAAAGTGTTACAGCTTTCATAAGGAAAAAAAAACTGTTCTTCTGAGTTGAAAAATTGTGCAATGGCAAATTGTTTTACTGTAACAGGTTTATTTTTTGTGTCAAAGTTTTTATTAGAATACATATATTTACATTATGAAAGCAAACATCAAAAGAGGAAGTTAAACATATGATTCATGATATATATATAAAGCCATTATCTGTATTCGTTAATGCTCCCTTTGTTGGTAATGCTTGAGTCTGTTTGTAACATTCATATTGACTCACAGGTTTGTCTCAAGTAGAAGTCTTGAGTTCAAATCCCAGTCAAGTAAAGAGTTTTAAACTTTTCTTTAATTATTAACTTATATTTAGAACAAGATACTACAATATTAAGAAAAAATTAAGATATTATGAAAAACAACAATAACATGATAGTTTACAAATGGGATTTGAATTTTTTTTTTTTTAATTCAAATAAATAGATTTGGTGTCACAGTGGTTAGTGCTTGATTATCACGTGGAAGTCTCATTTTCAAATCCCAGTCAAGTTTGGATCGTATGTTAGTTTTTATTTATTATACTTACAACAAGCTCTTTGAAACTCAGGAAAATTGGAATACAGTTATAGATTAAATCAGGAAAAATATAATATTACATGATAAACAGCATAGAGTGTATGTGTCAAAAACAACTGAAATATCTTCTCAGCATAATAGATGGTGCTACAATAGATTATTATTGATGTTTTTCACCGTAGGTAAGCGATTTTTAAAAACGTATTAAAAAATTTTATAAGCATATTTTAAGAAAACTTATACCTTCATGCATTTGCCTTTCACAATAAAATTTATTGCCTTTACCAACACATTTAATAAATCACATGGTTAGACATTTGACCATGTAATATTTCTTCAAGAACCAGTTTTTTCGCATAGTTCAATCTAAAGACTTTTTCAAGAAGATTTGGACATAAGATTAAAAATATACATAATTCAAAATTATAATTGAGGACAATTTACAGGAAATGACCAAATATATGCAAAAAATGTTTTCATGAAATACTAGAAAAAGGATAAACCTTCATTATAGATATATTGTTAACATTATCAACTGAATTTTTAGAAGACGTGTTCAAAAAACATTTTTTGAGATTTAATTTTGAGATGAAAAATTAATTAACATTAACCATTATATGTTAGCAGTCAGATAGTGTATATATAAAAATAAAACTTTCATAGTGAGACATTTCCAATTACCAGTCCTTGTTGTCATCATTAACTCAAAATAAAAAATGTCTGTGGCCATAGTTAGCAAATGTGTTGGGATATTCCATCTTATCAGACAAGATCCAAACAAAGATGTCAAACTAACCAGCGATTATGGAGAATCAGTTGAGGGTTAGAAGTTGAGTGCTTGAATTCACAATATTTCAACTCCTACTGTTTTTTTGCTGTCCGCTGCCAGTTGTGGGAAGGCAGCTACCTTTAATATTTAAATATAACCTTAAAGTAGAAATAAACTACCCTAAATGTCTATAATGTAAAACTCCCAACCTCCACCCTTCATATTATATGATGTACAAAAAGACAGATCACCCCAACAAATAAGCCAAAATATTCTTGTAAAAACAGACCACTCTAAATTTTTACAATATAAAACTCCCAACCTCCACCCTTTTTTCATATAAGATGTACAAAAAGGCAAATCACCCGAACAAATAAGCCAAAATATTCTTGTAGAAATAGACCACCCTAAATTTTTATAATTTATGAGACACCCAACTTCCACCATTTCATTTGATAATTACAAAGTGATGTCAAACAGAAATAAAAACCCTTATCTTAATAGATTTTAAGCCCCCATCCTCCTGCCTTTCTCTTAAGAAATTTGTTCAAGTATAAACCAGGTGAGCTGAAACAAGCCCACCTACCTGAAATTGATATTTCCATTACAGTATACCTAACAAATCCCTAAATATTTTTAGGTTAGTTACTTATAAGTCAAGGATGACCTTGAGTAACAAAGTCTCTGTTCTGAAGATTGGAAATTTTATTTATTTGGAAGTCTTTATAACCATTATTTTTCAATTTATTTATGAATAATTGAACATTATCCCTAAAAGCATTACTATTGTTACAAATTGTTAAAAAATCTTTTAGTTGAAAAATAATAATTCCTTTTAGCAGTATTGAAATGTTGACTGTCAAAGGTACTTTCTGGCAGTATAATGGTTGGAGACGGCTTGAATGGGTAATGAAGAAAAACTTTAATATAAGTTTAACATAATAGCAAATGTACAACGTTTTGACAAGGTTTTGTCATCATCAGGTAGTATGCATAAAATCAGATGATTTGATTTGTTCTTTAGTTGAGGTAAGTTTATAGCTGCAGTTCTCCAAAAAGTATTATCTATAATTAGTTTTATCATTCAGGAATAAGCATTACAGGTGAAGCTTATTATGTAAAAGTGTTTATACAATGAAAATGGTGTATGAGAGAGAGTGAGAGTACAAAGGCTGAGAATTCTGTTTGTTTTTAACTTCCAGTGCACATCCAGTGATCTAATCAACCCTGTTATTAAGTCTTGTTTCATGCTTCTCTTCCGAGACTTAATACGTTTATTTGCCTGTTACAATGATGGTATTATTAATCTGTTAGGTAAGTACCTGTATTTGTTTGGGATAGACACTGTTGTTCACTTAGTTAAATAGATGTCAGCTGATGGAATATGAAAGCTCTTATCTTGATTACCTCATTTGTATGTTTTTGTATTTTAGTTGAACATACTACATTTTTTATGCTTTACAAAAACCTTACTGTTAGCTGAATCTACTATGATTATTTTATGCATTGTTTGAGTATATTGTAAAAATATTAAGATTTTCTTAATCTTAGGTTGTGGATAAGAATGTAACCAATCCAATACATTGTTACTATGTGAGGGGAAAATCATGTTGAACATTTTAGTTTTTAAAAACAAAAAATACAGCAAATACATTCTAGATATGTAGAAACATAATCCCAAACTCTTAATTCTTGTAATCTCAGCTTCCCAAGACTTTATTTCCTTACTTCTAAGCCTATTAAAAGCTTAATTTTTTATGGATACTTAAACCAATTGATATGTTTATTGTGTTTTGCTTATATTTATGTTATCTTTAACTTTTTTTTTCTAACACTTCTGCCAATTTGTTTTTGCTTCTTTTTTTTTGCACAAATGTATTCAGTTTTGATTTTTGCTAAATATCTTTTTCTTTCATTATCAATTCCAGAGTATCATATACTCAAGGTAGACCTTGAAATTTTAATATATTTTTTTCTGTGGACTAATACTACTTGCACTTGATATTCCAACTGAACTCTAACATAACTAAGCCTTATGAGTATTAAAATAATTATTACACTCTTTCTATGGGGAAAAATATCTGAATCTGAGTTTTTAAATAAACAGTATTTCTCTTATGGACAGCTTATGGTTACACTTGTATTCAATCTGTTTATGAAAACTTTTTTTTATAATTATAATTTTTAAAAATCTGGTTTGTCTTTATTTCACCACGTTTTAGTGTATTTTATTTTTTCAGAATAAGTGTAATTTAAAGAATGCATATAAAAATATTGCTGTTTTTAAAAAAATCCCAAATATGGATTAGTTGTAGCAGCTGTGAAAGTTTTTTTGTTACTTGGAGTACGTTATATTAAAATGATTTTGAATATGCTTTTAGGAATGGCATGTAACAACCTTTTTTAAAGTATTCATAGATTCAGATCATAAAGATGTGTTTGGGTCAGGGATTTAGAATTTACAAGAGGATGTTCCTTGTACTTAAGAGCATTGGAAAACAAAGGAATACAGATCAACTTGGGAAACCACAACCATTCAGTAATGGATCAGCAATGAGCTGTATTCCCTGGAAGTGTAAGATCTTGTAAAAAATGGGAATCCATAAACACAAAGGTCATTGGCAAAAATTATCCACATGCTATAAGCAACAGTACACAATGATAATCAATAAGGATCTCATTCTGAAAAAGTAATATAAGTCACATATATGCAAGTTACTTCCACAGTATGTTCTTTCAACTGTTGCATATCTGAAACAGATGGAGTATGTATTGGATATTAATGCTAATCCATATGGAGACATACATGTCATGTAATCAGAAATAATGTGTATGTATTCATGTGATTGAATTGTTGAAAAGGGCAGTGAAAAACAGTTGTTCTTTCACAGTAGATTGATTATGGAAATCATGTAGGAATGAGTGGTGTGCTTTGAACATCATTTTTGAGCTGGAATGATTTGAAATGGAAACCACTGCAGGGCTAATGTCAAGAAAGACTGTTATTATATAGAATGTGACCAGATGTTGAGACATGGACTATGATGATGTGGTGACACTCCAAAAATAAAATAATAAAATGTACTCAACCTCTGTAGAATAGTTGAAGTTAAAGTTCTCCCTTTTTTTTCTTGTATGTTTACTACATTACTTTGGCATTTTAATAGGACCTCACCTGATATTGGGTTGGATCATTTTTTATTATGAATTAGCCTGGACTTGATGCAGCGTAGACTGTCAAAATAATGGCTGTGTGGCAGTTGCATTATCTTTGTGTCCATGTCCACTAGGGTATTAATGTAGTTTGGGATGGACATTGATTGGCAACAATTTTAAGTTATACTAAATATAACTTATCATTATAAAGGAATGAAAGGGCCCAATCTGTACTAAAAGAATATTCAGTATGCACTGTTAGAACCACACAAGCAGGTTGTGTGAATTTCTAGTTACTTTCTATATACAGTTTATGTTCTACCTACTACTGAAGCAGTTTTTGGTCTAATTGTCAGGACCACATGTAATGTCCCTTGCATGGTGTGATTGGAGAGTCAAATTCTGACCATTACTATAAGAATTAGTCACTTGGAACATAGTCTAACATTTGTTGAACTTGCTAAGCTTGTCCAGTAATTTTGAACATTAGTCAATCACCAGTGGTTAGTGGTCAATGATGTATTCCATTTTGATTGCTAAAGTTGATAGATTCTGTTTACAGATAATTTTGAACATGTGGTTGAAGGTCTTTGATAATGATGCCCTTGCTAGATGGACAGTCACTATTATACATCTTTGAAATTTGGATAGGTCCTTGCTTCAACCCATTATCATATGGACTAACCATGATATGACCATTCATCTGCATTTATATGGTTGAGTCAGTTACTAGATAAACTTCATGATCTGTACTTTGCATATTCAAATAAATAGATAATTCTACAAATATGACTGTGGGGTCCTTAACTATTTATGTGTATTAGCTAGGATTATGCATGTGTATTTTTTGATTGTTTAACACAAAGGTGTATTTATTTTCCACAGAAAAATATTTTGACATGAACAAGAAACATTGCCGAGAAGCTCTGGACATTTATAAAAAGTTTCTGATTCGTATGGATAGAGTGGCAGAATTTCTGAAAGTTGCAGAGGTTTGTTTCTTCTATTTGTAGAAAAAAGCTGTACAGAACTATATATGTTTTTATTTATATTTACCATCAATGATTTATAAAGATAACCAGCATTAGGGTATTTAACCATAAGAAAAGAAGATACTACTTATACAAGAGATCAATTTTTAGTCATTCAAAAAAATTCTTTTTCAGAAACTTGCTAAGAAAGACTGTTGAGCAATTTATTAGGAGTAAGATTATATTTAGTTTTAATTATGAATTATAGTAGTCAAAATTTTAATTCTAATATTTCTATTGTTTAAGAATAGTATTATTTTGAGGTACCATAAGTAATGGCAAGGTGTAATATCAGTGTTCAAGAAGCCTTAGTTTTAATTATTGTAATTTGTATAATGTAACTAAAATAGTGGAAATTTTTTTTTCTTATTTACTCTCAATACTAGTTGAAATTTCCATTTTAATTTTGCTGGTGGTATAAGTAAATTTTGAAAGCAACTAACCAGTTGCAAAATCCTACATTTTACATATTTAACTAGATAATATGCTGTAATTGAATTACCTTTTATAAACTTAGGGAGTTTCTTACTTGAAATATGTCTTGTGGAACTACTTCAGCTCCATCTTAGCTGACAGTAGAAATACTTTTTTTAGAGCCTTATTCTAGTGTTAATCATTAACAAAGTATCTGGAAAATTCAAAAAACTAAATTAATAAATTTTAGTCTTTAAAAGAAAAAATGAAAGTTACTGAATTAGCAACTGATGTAAAAATGTACGATTCAAGGAAATTATGAAATTTCTTTGGTGTTCAGAGATTTAATTACTGTCATAAAAAAGACCTTGCATGTATAAGTGTTTGTAAGTATTTGAATTTTTTATCTTTGATGTTGCAATTCAAAACTAAAAAGTAGAGTAGTTTTACATAGAAAAATTGGATTTTTTCATTTTTATGTGTTTTTTTTAAAACTGGTCATAAAAAATTTCAATAAAAAACATTCAACAGTTAGGTTTATTCTTAGAATGGTAGTTTGCTGTTTTTGTAGAACCTGTGTGTGTGTTAAGGTAGCTATCAGTGTATATGTAAATATGTGTTGTTTAATTTCATTCTGTTTAAAGAGGATATGAAAGTCTAGTATTAATTTCAGAGTTCTGAAAAGACAAAACATTATTTCTTTGAAAATCAATGTATAACATTAAAGATTGAAATATTTTTTGTGAATATGAAAACTACTGACCGATTAAAATCACATTTACTTTGATATCAATGTAAAAAATGTAAGTAAGGGAAACTTTAGAAATATTTACAGAAGTATTAGAATGATAGTATATATTCTAATTATATGTTTATTAAAAATTTTATTTCAGAACATTGGTATTGATAAAGGTGATATACCAGACCTTACAAAGGTAAGATATGATTAGAAATAGGTTATTCATTTAGTTCGTGGTTTCTGTCATACAGTTTTCTCATTGTTGTTTAAACTTTTAATTATAAGTGACTTTGCACTTGTGGTTTCTGTATTATAGTGTTTGGCATATCTCATTCATTAAAATTTGTATTATTTAACGTATTGGTAGATTTTATTCTACATCAAGTTTTAAGCTCATGACAATCCTTGTTCATTTAATTCCTTATTAATTTAAAATGTCTATATAATTATTTATTGAAAAAACTGATATAAACTCTTTGTAGAAGTATGAAGATTTGTTGTGTGTTAAGCTTGATGAGTAGTGTAGATTATGTGATCTTTGCTCTTAAATCTTTCAACTTAATTGTGAGATACAGAATATGTGCCTAAGGGCTGAAAATCTTTTGGACACTTAGGTAATCCTTATTTTGTGGTCAAAATGTTTAGCTTTAAATCTTGTTAAAAATATTCTTGTAGAATTTTACTGTAAAAATATGATGTTGTTTAATATTAAATAGAATATTCTGGACTTTATTTCCTAAAAAACAAATCAAATTTGATTTTGTAAATAAATTTCTCAATATATTATATCCAGTTTCATTATAGAAATATGTTGATGTTCTTTTGTGATACACACACACACACACACACACACACACACACACACACACACACACACACACACACACACACACACACACACACACACACACACACACACACACATATATATATTAGTGACCCTTGAAAGTGAAAGTTTTAGTGCATTGATGAGGCTTTCAAGTAAAATTAATTATTGCAAATTAAACAAATCTTGATTTTTATCTATCACTTGGTTACGTAAATTCAGTCATCATAAATTATATAAGCAATTTATGATATAAATTGCATCTTGACAACAAATATCTTTGTTGTATCTAAGCTGGTCTAATGTGCCCTTGTATTGTGAGAAAAGCCTCATTGGCACTAGATACAGCAGGTCTATAGCATGGTTAATATATAATTACATTCTTCTTTACGTTCACTAAAGTTTTTATAATTTAGTGGGGGGCTGGGAGCTTTGTCCTTCTGAACCAGGTAGATTACAGTCCTTCACGTTAGCTCTGGCATCAGAACATTTTCCAGAAGGTTGAGATAGTCTTGGCATTTAAAATACTCCACAGAAAGAATGAAACAATGATTTTGGTTTCAAGCATGGTGTACCGCACCATCTCTTACAAATTCTTGTTTGTTGATAGAAGAGATCAGTAGGGGATTTTATTTCGATTAGTTGCGAGTGGTTAGTATGGCTGTTGAGGCAAAATGTTGCTTCACCAGAGACAGGATGCCTGATTGGTAGTTTGGATTCATATTTTATTGTTTCAAAGCCTATTTTGTGAATGGTATCTGTGGTTGAAGTGATTTTCATGCATTTTGTACTATTCATACTTAGTTGTTTTCAAGATACAATACACTTTCGTATGGTTCATTCCAACTTCTGCAACAGTACATCCAGTTGACTTCCTCAGGCTCATGATAATCCTTGTAATGATATTTACAATATTTGAGGTTCTGAAACAACCTGTATGACCTGCAAATGATCCAGTGTTTTTGAAACATTGTAAGAGTTTTTACCCTGTCTTCATGGACATCCTTTACTGTGCAGGTCACAAGGTTTTTAGTGACTTACATTCAAAATTTAATTAAACTACTTTTTGTTTATGTTACACCAATTAGTATAGCATTAAATTGTAGCTAATAATCCATATTTTAATAGTATATAAGTTTTAAGTTCTTAATTTTATAAGGCAATATTGTAAAACATCCTGAATTTCCCCTTGTGTGAGAAATGACATTTTTTTCTCTAGGCATATCCTCTAATTTATTCACCACCCCTCCAATAAGTACAAAATTTAACGTAAATTAGTCACTATAAAATTATCATCGCTCAGACAAACCATAATTGTTATAGCCTTCAATCCTGTTTGGTTATAGAGCCATCAAAGAGAAAATCAGATCCATCTTGCCACACCCACCTATCATATCCTCTTTTTCAGGATTTGTTAATCATACTCTGTTACATTTAATACTGTATTATTTATAACGAATAGAAAGCCAAGGTTTTTATCCATCAAATGATGTATTATATTACATACATTACTTTCTGAACAGATAATAGTCAATTTCTCTTTTAATACAAGCTTTGTTCCCATGGGAAACATATTGACTAGCCTAGATAAATTTGTAATGGCTCTTGTTGCATAGCTAGAAAGCCAGAAATATTGTCATTGTTAGGGGAATTGTCTGCTTCTTGCATGTTATTATTCTATTTTCTTTGATGTATTATTTAATTAAACAAAAATTATTTAGTGCATTACTACCATTAGTATTAAAAAAAAAGTAAGGTTAAATGTCATTGACAGTCGACAGCAAAAAAAAGAAGACCCAAGTAAGTATTTTATTTCTTGTTTTTCATGTGTATTTATTTATTTATTATTACAAAAGTAGCTAAAATGTAAAAATAGGAATCTCTTTAGGTTAGGTAAAGTAAATGATAATATAATAAAATGTTTCATGAGGTGTGTACACAAGCAGCTTGGAGTAGCTCGTTGGTAATCTAACTTGATAGCATAACGTGAGCTCCACATTCCCCAAGTAGTTTACAACTTATAATAGCATGAACAGTAGTTAGACATAATTGAAAGGGCAATAAAAGCATAAAATTTAAGTATAAATAGATGAACACTGTTATGAGTTTAAAGCTACTAAGGATAAACTAATGTAGTTTCATGTAATATCGATTTATTTTGATTTTTTTTTTTTTTTTGGTTTGGTTACAAGGTCGGTCAAATTCACCAACCTTGTATAGAGTTAGAAAATAACAGATAAAATATAAAGTTTTACTGAAAACAAACACTTGACATGTATTTAGGTTTTAGAGTTAATGAAATTTTAGATTTTTAAGATGAAAAAAGTATTTTAATCTTAACATGAAAATCACATTGCACTCGGACTAGTAAAAAAAAAAGACTCAATGTATTTATGGTGTATTCTTTTTTTAGTTTATTAAAAATACTTCACTAAAAATCTGATTTTTTGTATGTGAAAGACTTATAATGTTTACTCAAAGTCCGCCAAATTTTGTGAAGATACATGTACTATGTTAAAAGTTAGTAGTGTCAAAACTATAATGACTTTAAACGAGTACAAAGAAGCTATATTGTCAGTCAATTTGCCCGAGCTCATAGAGAGAGTTAACACAGCTAATTGGGTTACAGGTTCATAATCAGAATGAAGCCATTTGAAGTGGTCTGCAATTTGTTTTTGAGTTCACCTTTCATGTTTTTACAGCAATATCAATTCTACACTTTCATCCCTTGTTTGTTTATTGGCTTTTATACCTAAGAAAGGAATGTTGTTTTTCAATGCTTCCTGATTTTTTCATCCAGTAAACGACATCAAAATTAAAAGTGACAATATAACCTGAACTAGATGCATCATATTCTGTAATTTTGTTTAACGTAATGTTATTTATATATTGCTTGTTACAGATATCACATGTAACAGTTTTTTTTCATTTGAGTGCTGGTATTATGGTGAAAATTAGAAAAAAAGTAATAAATAAAACATGTGTAACAATGAAACACTTTGTTTACAAAATTACTTGTAAATGGCTAATTAAAAATTAATAAGATAGAATTTTTTAATGCATATTTTAATTGTTCTCTATTTCTATGATAAATGTTAGGAATAAAAAAAAATGGGGAATTAACCCATTCACTGCTGCTGGGTTGTATATTTCCCAGTGCTCCTACCCTCTCACATTGCAACTGGGACAAATGCTTCTTATTGTCGATGCTGTTTACACCTTCCTCTGCTGGGTCCAGGTTCATCTTCTTGACTGTCATCACTAGATGGAGAGCTAGCATCCCATTGTCTCATTGCCTCTTCATCATCATGCATTTTAACACCACTTGACTCACTTTCACAATCTTCTAACCTATCTGAGTCAAGTGCATCGAGCATACTTATATAGTAATTAGGGTTACTACTCGTCGCTCTTGTGATGCGGGCATGGTCTGTATGCAGTTCTCGTACATTACACTTGCGCATCTTGTTGATTACTAAAGGGCTGAGTGGAAAACATTGAGGGAAATGATATATCAACATTAGGTGGGATGCCAATAAATACTTTCCAACTCACTTTACTCCCATACATCATGCACAGCAATTCTGAATGACAATGAGAAACATTTGTCCCAGTCATAGTGTGAGGGGGTGGAAGCATTGGGAAATATACATCCCAGCCACAGTGAAAGCTTTAACAGTTTAGTAGATTAAATGGCAAAAGATGAAAGATGTAGTGTAAGTTTAAGCTGAAATCATTTTAGTTGTGTAAAAGTTGCTGTAGAAAAACTTGTCTTTGCTGGTGATGCCATGCTGGGACCATTCATCAGTGTAAAATTAAAAACAAAAGAAATGAAAAAAACTGTTTCGCTTATTGCTAAGTGAAAGATATTTCCGATATGGTACATTACCTCCACTCACATAAATAGCTATTCTCATTCAGTGCTGAGTTGTATATGCAAACAATTTTTTTTCATTGCCACAAGTCTTGAGCTCCCACGTACCTTACAATCAAATGATGCAATTGTATCTCGCATGTAAATCATCATGCGACAACTCTCCACCAATAGGAATGCTACACACTATCCTGATGCATGTGATTCCCTCTATTTGATTCTACTGAACTATCACTTTTCATTTGGCAGTGCTAGTGTCAAGATGTTTTTTGTTGTGCTCTTCAGTCATGTTTTTTTGTTCAACTTGGTGCATTTTCTTTCACTTTTACTGATAACTTATTTTTCTAGGTTTTAAATTTTTTTATCAAATGGTTACATTATGTTACATTGTTACATAATGAATTCCAAAGGACAAGTTACCACTTCGGAGGTCATACCTTTTATTAGCACATTCACGTAGACTATAGATGGGGTAACACGTCTATGGGCTTATTGACTCTCATCTGCCATGAGATTGATTGTTATGTGAGTCAACCTGCTTCTCCTGATGTTGCCCCTATTCCTCCTGAACATGGCAAACCTGTTTGGTTTGATGAGGATTTTGACAGCCTTTTTCCTCCACCTGATTTTGCTGTGTCTTCCTATGTCACTACTGCAGAACCAGATAGGCCTGATATGGCTTTTTGAGACACAATTTCTCAGGTATGTTCTGTTTTATCCATTGCTTGATTTCATATGATCCCCTTCCTTCTTTGTTACATGATACCATCTCCTATCAGTATTTGATTTTCCTCCTTCCCTGGATATAAAGGCTAATGCAGATCATTTTGTTTCGCAGATGGTTGATGGTGCTAGCTAGCATGCCTCACCCTCTACTAGCTTAGGATCAGTTTGCTTTGGACTACCATCAGGTTGACTGTCCGTTTCTCGATTCTCAACAGTTGGAATCGATTTTGCCCATGTGTGGGGTAGACCCTGATCATCCTGTTCATATACCCCACACTCAATTTTCCTCCGCCTATGTCTTACCCTGTCAACTCTGCTACGGTACTTGTCTACAATCCACCTCCTTTCCGAGGAGATCCTTAGGGTTTTTTGAGGGATAGCATTTCTCTGATTACCTCCATGTTGACACGTTTGTCTTTTTTGGCCCTTTCCTTACACACGTGGTTTCTCTGTTGTTGGGATCTCCTGGAGAGGGATGCTGTTTCATTCCATGTTTGCTTACTGCCAACTCATCTCTGGGACTTATGTATGGCCCCTTTTCTACAGTGGTATGTTTTTGGTAATATTCCCGAGACTTTGGAATCCTGTGTGGAATTGGTGAGACAATAAACAACCCTTTCTTTTTTTGGTGGATTGTTTGTCTCAGTTAGAGCCCAGACAAGCTTCTATTATAGTTTCCCGTTCCACTCCTTCTCAGCCCTTAACTGTTCCTCCCTCCAGGGTTCCTCCTCCTCTTGTATTATTCGACTCGGAAGGACGTGTAACCAACACGTGGGTTCTGGTCTAGTGGACTTGCTTGACCAATTTTGTTCTCTTTTGGTGACTTTTCTCCACAGATCTGTAGGTTCTTTGGGTATTATCCAAGGGACTTATCATCCACTTCCTTTCCCCTCCTCCATTGCCTTGGGATCCTACCACCAGTCAATATCTGTTTGAGGTGGTACAACATCTTTTCCAGAATGCCATTGAGCCTGTCACTCATCCTTCTCCAGGTTTTTATTCCAGGCTGTTTGCTCCACAGTGGCACAGCGGTATGTCTCTGGACTTACAACGCTAGAAACCAGGTTTCGATATCCGTGGTGGGCAGAGCACAGATAGGCCATTGCATAGCTTTGTGCTTAATTACAAACAACTCCAGGCTGTTTGTGGTATCCAAGAAAACCAGGAACTGGTGGCCTGTGATAGATTTGTCTTGCCTCAATCAAATGTTGGTTCTACCCCAGTTTACCTTGGAGTCTTTTCTCACCCTCAGGTGTGCTTTTTCTCCCAGTTTGTGGAGGATCAAGGTTGATGTTGTAAATGCTTACCTGCATGTTCTAATATTTCATCTGTTGAGGTGCTATCTTTGGTTTGTTCATCACGGGGTAGTTTATGAAGTTTGTACCCTGTCTTTCAAATTGAAAAAGTAATTCCTTATACCTACCTAATATCTTGTCCACTTGGGTGTGCTTTTCAACACTCATCTCGGTCGGGCTCAACTTTCTCCTCATCGACCTAGTTCAATGGACCTCTCATTTTTCCACACTTTTACTGCTCCCTCTTTTATAGTTTGTGAGGTTCTATCACTTTTGGAGATGTGGTCTTCTATGGAAGTTCTTATTCCCTTGGGTCGAGTACATATGAGGTCTCTTGCGTCGGATCCCTTAGAGGCTCCCATTTCTCTTCATCTTTCCCTGTCAGCGATGTGCATTGGTGGTTGGACAAAGACTTGCACATTCTGCTTCTTCGTACTTGTCTGGATTTGCATTTCTTCATGGTCGCTTCCCTTCAGGGCTGGGGGATGTGGGTCAATCAGCAGGAAGCTTCAGGTCAGTGGTCTCTGGCCAGAAGATCTTGCCATATTAAGTCCTGAGGGTTCTGGTCATATGTCATGCTTTGGATCATTTTCTTCATCTTGCCAGGAATCGTCTGTTTATGATCCATTCTGACAATTCAGTGGTGGTAGTTTATATCAATTACCAAGTTGGCACTTGTTCTCATTCTCTTTGTGATTGAACCTTGGATCATCTTTTTTGAGCCCACAAGCACAGTATTTGTCTCCTTGAATGCCATGTTCTGGGTGCATTCAAACTTGTTGAAGATCATCTTTTCCATCCTGACAAAGATTATCTGACAGAGTGATCTTTTGATCCTCTTGTTTTCCAGTGGCTATGCCTTCAGTGGGGTACTCCTCACCTGGATGCATTTGCCACATATCTCAATACCAAGTTACCTATTTTGGTCTCTGGTACCTCATCCACTTGCTCTGGCTGTTGATGCTTTCAGTCAAGATTGGACAAACAAAAACCATTGTATGTTTATCCTCCCATCCTTCTTCTTCCAAGGGTGATTTTGATCATCCATGCCACTCCCTGTCAAGTCCTTCTGGTTGCTCCTTACTGGCTGGCACAACTGTGGTTTCTGTGGCTGCTCCAGTTACACTCTACCCTTCTTTTATTCCATCCCTACTACGTCATTCTTGGTCACCAGTATTTCATCTAGCCTTTATATTCTCTGTCTTGATGCCTGATTTTTACCTGGTCCCTGGCGAGGAGATCATGTTTGTCCGGTGGGTTGCTTTTTTTTTTTTTAGCTTGTTCCATTCGTCTTTCCTTTAGGGATTTAGGGATGTTTATCAATGTTAGTAGAACGATTTCTGCCATTGGTCTTTGGGTCAAGGGTTTTTCCCTGCTCGACCCACAGTTCCTCATATTACAGATTTCTTCACTTGGCTGTTTGATCATGGGTTTTCTGTCTCCTCGATCGTGGGTTATCTGTTCTGTTGACAAGGGAAACCTAGGTACCATAAAACATGGAACATAAGCACAGCATCACATAGTCTTTGCATTTGAGCAACACTAGCAATATCAGCCTGAAGTTGGGTGATGAACTGTCTTTGTTATAATCACATGATTTTCCTTTTCTTTGTCTTTTCAATTTTATCACTCTGAAATAAACAGTTGAGATTCATGATAACATCTTGGAATTCTTTCACAAATTTTGCTCTATTTTGTCTTCTTACTGAATTATTTGTAGATATGACAAAAATATATTATAATTTTGTCTCAAAAATAAATTATTCAGTTATAGAAAGTTTAAATGGTGCATGTGCATATAGTAAAGTAATAAATATGAACTGATAACAATTAACTCCATCCCTCCTAAATGTGGAGAATGAAATTTCTTTCCAAAGGAGAAGAAAAGTTTCGTATCTGTTCAGTTAATAAATAACCATTTACACGTATCCATATGCAATTGTTTAGTTGAACACGAAACTGATACTCTAAATGATGAGAACACAATATTACTAGATATGCTGATAATTTTTATTTATGCAGCCTCTAATGAGCTGTTGAAGTAATCTCCATTTCATTGGAAGTGCACAATTTTATGGTTTTGTTATGCTTTTAGGCTCCAAGCAGTCTTTTGGACTCCCTGGAACAGCACCTTGCCACTCTAGAAGGGAAGAAGGCCACTTCAGCAGGAGAGACAAGGTATTGTAATTATAACTGATTTTAAAAAATCTTGCTAACAAAGATTTGCAAACAGCATATTTTTAGTACAACTCCAAAGCATGTACTAAGAATTGAGCTTTTTGACTATTGATAAATATTAAAATTATTTTGAGAATTATCAAAATCATTTGTGGTTTAAAATTTTGTAAATTTATTTAACAATGAAACTGTTTAAGGGTTTTGTTTTCCATGAATGTTGATATGTCTTAACAATATGTGTGTGTGTTTATGTAAATGAGAATTTTTTATTTCTGTTAAAGAGATTGTTGGTACATTTCTACAATCCCTGGGACCAGTTTACTGCATAAACTATTTATACTCTTGTTCTACAATAGAACCTCAGTGTATATGAACCAGACAGCTGTGGAAAATTTGAACATTCTGTTAATTGATTCTTTGGGCATAAGAAACTTGGGGAACTAACTAACTTTTAGATAAATAATGTTTTTAGGTTTGTTTTGCAGTACATGTTTCTTGGATGTTTACCTTGTTGAGACATATTATAAGCTGCTTACTAACACTTTTTGTGTTGTATTAGTATGGAATTCTTTTCTTCTGGCATTTGTATTCAGATTTTCAGTGCTGGGTGTGGCTGAAGTTTCCTTTTGGTTGCTGTTATACTGGGGCTGGAGACAAAATACTATTACATGTAAGCTTGATCTGAGATTGCCTTATCTGTTGATCTGCTCACTAGAGTGAATTCAATATTTGAAGCTAATTTCAATGGACAAATTGATGAAGATCTGATCACTTGCAAAATGTCTCTTGAAGCTGAAGGAATATGAATACTTTGGAAATGCACAAACTGCTTAAAGTGTAGTGGGAGATGACTGAAAAGGATCAGAATAGGGATAGTGTGCACTACTTTTCACTTATTTATTAGGTCTTCAAAAAGTTAATGTCGTGTTTTGGAACACTTTTATTACCCAACCCCAACAAAATGCGAATCACGTATAAAATAGTTAAACCACCTAAACGTCACGTTAGTATAGCCTATATAATGTGTAAAGTTTACTGTACTCTAATCCCTTATAGTGATGCCACACGACGAAACACACATTCGGCATGTAAAAAGTTTATGGAAATGTTTTGAACGTTCGTAAGTGTCAACGATGGTTCAGCAAATTTTGTTCAAGTGACTTTAGCATTAAAAACTGTGATGGCAGGGGCTGACATGTTGGAAATGATATTGATGCTCTGAAGATGCTTGTTGAGTCTAACCCGAGGCAACACACTTGTAAAATGGCCCTGAAATTGCATGTCTCTCATGAAACAATGCATAAACATCTAAGGAATATGGGAAATTCCATAAAGAAGGTGTTTGGGTGCATCATGAACTCTCCAATGATCATCATTTCCAACTTTTAAATGTTGCTTCGTCTCTTCTGCCACGTAATGCGCATGAACCATTTTTGGACAGAATTGTCACTGGTGATGAAAATTGGATTCTCTGTGAATTCCTTGACTAAAACAACTTCTTATTCCAAAACCTAGACTCCATCTGCAGAAAGTGATGCTTTGCATTTGGTGGGACATCAAAGAAGTGATTTATTTCAAACTCTTCAGTCCACAGCAAACTGTCAATGCAGAGATCTATAGTCAGCAACTGGAATATTTAAATCAAGCTCTTGATCAGAAATGCCCTTCACTCATCAATGCACACATATACTAGGACGGGTTTAACTCTATTACAATTAGTGAGCACCTTTCAGGTGTTGAGTGCACACATCTATATTAGATTTTAAGATTTAGATAAAAATAATATTTCCAACTATTTCAACAGTTTTTAACTTAAAAATCTTTAGAATTTATACCTTTTCTTTATGTAGCATTTATTTACTGTAAGAAAAATGGCAAAAATATTACCAACCTTCATTTTTGTGCACCTCTAGTGCAATTATAGATTTTTTAAAAACTTTTTCTTCTTATTGCAAAGTATAGGCTTTTATTTGCTAGAAACAATTATTCCTTGAAAATATAATTATTAATTTTTTATTTTTGATGTGACATACATTTTCTATTAGTGATTTTATTATTTTATTACGACAGCCCTTTATTGCCACACTTATAATATCACAGCATTTGGTTTGAAGAATTATGAATAAAGCTTAGCTTTAAAATAGCTACAGTTAATAATTAAATACAATTAGATAAAGTAGGTTATAAAATATCTAAATCAATGTAGAGTAAATAAAAAATTTGAGCAGTAATTTTTGGTTTGATGAGATATTGGGTGCCTGGATCTTTTGAAGGAGTGAAAGAAGGAATCTTAATTGGAAATTTAGGACATCTGGGAATAAACCACAGATCTGGAATTTTTTTAATAGTTTTTCAAGCATTCTCTTCTTTTTTGCAAATGTTTATGTGAAATTATATGTTTTAAAGAAACATAAATTTTCTTATGTTACAAGAGACATAATGTAAGCTTAGTTAGGTTTAGTAAGTAAGGTAGGCAAGGAAAGATATTCCAGTGACTCGCATCTTTACTTGTTAAATATTATTGTTAAGTTTATTGTATTCAAACAATGCAAACAAAATAAATTATTATTTATTTAAAATAAACTATTTATTACACCTAAATTGATCTCAACCAAGAATATTGTGAACAAAATTTGTTATGTTTACTCTGACAAAGGTGACAGTGATGCCATTTTGAGAAGCAAGGTCGTAGGTCACTGATAAACCTTTAGGTTTGCCATGTTTTTTTATGATTGATAGCTGGAAGTGGTGATTACAGAAAATGGCAAAAGTATGTTGATAAATATCAATCAAATCTGAACTGACTGAATAAATATGATGCAACTTTATGATCAACAATAAAATAATTGAAATTTTAATACAAAAGGAAGTATTTATAGTGTGTTTTAAACACAGTGTCTCATTACAAAATTTTTGTAATTTCTTAATCTAAAAATGATAGAAATACTAAATCAAATTATATGAATTTTCATAAGAGAAACTGCCCTGCAAATACTATTTAGCAAATTTGTACGAAGTTAAATTTTGGTTAAGTATTTCCATTGAGAGAAGGGAAAAAAAAATATCAATGATATCCTTCCTAACTCACCACAGTCTAGTGGTAAATGTGCCATACTGTGTAACAGAGATGCCATGGTTTGCACAAGAAAAAAAATTCTGCTCAGCACCTGGGGCTGTTTGTGTGTTATAGGGATGATGGTTAAATCTCACAATTCAATTTCACAATAGTAGCCTAAAAGTTGATGATGGGTGCCTTCCATCTAGTCTACCACTTCAATGGGGATGGCTAGTGCAGACACCTCCTCTGGTCTGGAAAGGGTTAAACAAATCAAAACTGACTTTTCACTGGGTTTGGTAATGCTTCTGCAAAAATTAATTAGAATATGTAATACAGTAACCTAGTCCAGTAGTTCCCAAAGTGGGTGCCATAGCACATGAAAAAAATAAACAATACTGTTAAGGTATTCAGTATCTACAGATTCACCGGGTGGGGACTTCAATCAGGATGCAGAATGTTCTGTGAGCTCTTTCACTAAAAGTTTGGAAATGCATGACTTAGTATACAGTTTTTTTTTCTGGCTGGTAAGAGTGTCAGTCATTATGATACTTTTATAATTACTAATTATTTTTGGGGAATAGTAAGGTGTCACTATGAATTTTGTTTTGTGTGTAACATCCAGATGCTGTGATTATGTTTACTTGAGTGTGAATGTAGTAAAACTAAAGATTTGTATTCCAATATAAAAGCTTGGTTTGATTTACCCTTATTAGTTTTACACATCTTAAATTATCCTGCATGAGAAGATGCTTATGATTTGGTTTCATGATTTGATTATTTTGTTTCCCACCAACTTTTATTTTTTTATGGATCCCACCCTTTTTTTTCTACTTTTCCACCACCTCCCTCTTGCCCAAATATCCCATTATAATTTAGGTTAAACACATATCTGCAAAACGCAGTCTTCGCTCTTTCATCCACTAGCACTGCATTTGGAACTGTTGGGGGATCTGAAAGTCAAGAAGTAAATGGATTCAAACCAGATGACTATCTTCGTAAGATTGCTGAAGAAGGAGCAGCTGCTTTGAAGGTATGACTAGTTAGTTTTAGAATGTATGATTATACAGAAATACATTAAACCATTTTGAGAGAGTGTTGCTACATTGACAGTCACAGTGGTCCCTGAAAATAGTAAGATGGTTTAATATTATTTGAATTTATTAATGAATATTCAGGATAAACATGGGTTGTATTCCTTTAAAACAAATTCAAATTCAAACATTAGAAAAGCAGAACATTAATTTCAAGACATTTCCAATTTATGGCCAAAATCAACAAGAAAAACTCAAAAGAAAAACTATAAAATCTTTGAAAGATTTGGTAACATCAGAATTTAAGTTTAACAATAATATTGACAGAGAAAAACAATATCAAAGAATAGGTTATTCAAAAAAACTTAAATGTTGAAATGCCACAAAAGTCCATGTTGTGAAAAAGGGATTTTAGGTAGGTGCAGGAAACATTCTTCTAAACAATGTGTAGTTATTGTCTGAAGAAGATGAGTAGAAACAAGTAAATGCAATGTTTACTTAAGTTTACAAGTTGAAAGAAATGTATTCTGTGATAATTATTTTCATTTGAGTGTTCAATTGTTTATTTTTTAAGATAAGACATGGAAAATTTGTTTCAAACTTATGGTGACTCATGTTTTGTTGACCTAACATTCTTGCTACAAGCAGGTCAAAATGTACATGTCATGACTTTTGAGAGTTAAATTCAAAATTTAATTAAAGTACTTTATTATTGTATACAAATAAACTTGGTATCAAAACATTGTTAATAAATCAAATTTTAATATTGTATAAGTTTTAAGTTGTTAATTTTATATAGAAATATTTTAAGAAATCCTAAATCTCCCCGAGTATGATAATTGTGACATTTGCTCTGTAGGTATTCCCATTTCTCTAGTTTACTTATCACCCCTGTGAGAAGTATGGAATTTATTGTAAATTGCTCATTATAAAATGGATATTACCCAGGCAAAGCATGATTTTTATAGCCTTCAGTCTTATTTGTTTATAGAGCTGTAAACTGGAAAATCAGATCCACTTGCTATGCCCATATGTCACATCCTTTCTTTCACAAATTGCCAATAGTTCTTTCTGATGTTTTATACTATATTATTTAAAACCATTATAAAGCCGAAGTTTTTAATCTATCAGATGGCATATTATATTGCATTGTTTTCTGTAGAGAGAAGTGTTTGTTTCCTGGTTCAGTTTTAAAATTTGTTCTAGCTTAGCTGAATTTTTAAAGGCTTTTATCGCATAGTTAGAAAGCCAGAAAAATGATAGTTATAGGACATTGTTTGCTTTTTGCATGTTATTATTTTGTATTCTTAAGGGCATTATTTAATTAAATAGAATATTATTAGTGTAGTAGTACTATTAGTTTTCAAAAGTAGGCTTACGTTTCAACAGTCAACAACATAAAAAAAAAAAAAAGACCAGATAAGTACTATATTTCTTGTTGTGTATATATATATATATATATATATATATATATTCTTTATTTATTATTAATTGACTTACAACTTGTGTGGTGGGATTATTAGTTAGGCATGGTTCAAAGAGAAATAAAACAATAAGGTTGCCTCTTGAATTGAGAGAGTCTCAGGTTTAATTTCCATTGCCATCAAACATACTTGCCCTTTCATCTTTGGATCATTATATTTTTTTTGTATTATTCCCAAGCAACTAAGGCTATCTGTCACTGGCTCTAAGTTTAAACTGCTGACTAGAAGGAAGGCAGCTGGCTGACAGCAGTTACTGCCAACCTTTGGGCTACTTTAACGTTAAATGAAGTTTAAATTAACTTTTTTTTTACACTGTGTTGTTTGTAAATTATAATTGCACATTGTATTCTTTAATAAGGTTTTGTTCTTAAATTCTTTCTTTCCAGTCCAACACTCTCACTGTGAGCATTTACCCTTTTTTTTTCTTGTAAGTGTGATTGTTGTGTGTAAATGAAGTTTGCTGTTGTATATTTTTATCTTTGTCTTTACATTTAAGATGAACTCAGTCAGGGTTCACAGAGTAACAGAACTGTACTCTGTTATTTTATCTGTTTGACCTTCAGTTAGAAGACCTTACTTCTGCTCTACAGTATATCTGTGTACAAGAAAATATGCCAAATTTTATTCCTATGGCTTTTATTGTTGGACAGTTCTTCACTATATGGATGAATATGTTGCTCCTGGTTGATTTGTTGTATGGTTTTTGAAGTCTCTTTCTGTTCAAATGCTGTTTTTCTTCTTCCATGGAGAACATTTTATGCTTCTGTCTTTTATTATGTATTTTGACTGTACATTATTTAGTCTTGTTAAGTGAATGATTTTCCTTAGAAAGAGTTATAACATGTATTTCTCCACTGCATTAGCATGCACAAATTGTTATTATAAAGTATTGATAAACTTCTGTGTAGTATTAGATTAAGAAGTTTAGGAAACTTGCAGTTTAGAATTAAGATCACTTAGTCTTAGAGTATCATCATTTACAACTTGGAAATCAATCATGGAAAATGTAGTGAATGTGTAAGATGAATTATGACAATACTACTGAAATATAATAAATTTAAAATAAACACATTATTAAAAGAAGCATAACTAAATCTAAAAAGTGAAAACAAATCTGGCTTTTGAAGTAGTAACTGTTGTTTGTAGTAGTATATTTTTCTTACATTGTTATTTGTTGGTGCAACGTTTAAATTACTATACATTTTAAGTGAATTAATGCTCCTTTGCTGTAAATGTAGATACTTTTATCTGAGTCTCTTTCAGCAGTGTGTTGTATCTTTCCCAATTCTTGTTTGTGTAAAGACTGTTTTTTTAAATCCATGTATATTTTAATACATAGTCATTTTGTAGACATGCAAATTTAAGTGTTGCATTGACATCAAATACTGAAAGAATTAGTTTGTCTTAAACCTTTTTGTGTGGCTTGGTATATGAGCATTATTACACATCTTTTGATTTAACAAGGAACATTTTTGCTAAGTTTTGAATGGAATGTTAAGTTCTTATTTACTTAGCCATATTATGTATATGCTGTTTTAAAAAAATTTTGAATGTCGTTAATAATTTCTGTGCTTATTTAGAAAAATAATTCAGTTTTGGATTCTTAAGATTTAGATATAGTAGAGTGAGATTATAATGGTTGTTTAAAGTATAAATATTTTTATCTTTTTCTGCTTGGTAGTCAAATTTTAACAAGGCATAGTGCATGTTTAACTGTTATGTTTAATGTATTTCAGTATATTTATTAACATAGGTACATGAAACATTAGGAAGGATGATTTATTGTAGTAAAGTTAGATTCTCATCTGCAATATGATAGTTTTTAGAAATAGAAACCAGTTTGTAATATTGCTGCATTCTTTGCTTATGTGCCTGGCTGTGGATCAGAAGGTCAGTCCTGCTGTTAGTTAATAGTAGCCATGTGAAGGATGGGTGCTGTTTACTGGTTGCCATCCTTCAGAGTTATAGATGTCTATGTGTTTGACTTGACTGTTCAATTTGAAAATATCAAAAATCAGCTGTTATTTCATTGTGTGTGTTAAGTGTCTTTCTCGTGCTTGTTATTTTATATTGAGGGAATAGTTGTGCCTTTGGTCTTGTTTTGTTCTCATGTGGAAAATTACACAAAAATGGATCTCTTGTATACCATTTATAACAGTTTTATTGTATCCATATACAGGAGAAAAATACTTTATATCTTGTCTGTTTATTATGATGATGATCTTGGTTTAAAGTAAATAAAATAAGTAATAAAATATGTTCACATAAAATAGTGACTTATAAAGATACTCTGTTTCAATTGTTTCTTTAATTATTATAGGAAATTAATTTGATTTCTTGTTTTCCTTCATGTTGTACAGTGACTCAATACTGATAGGTGTAATTTTATAATGGTGCTGTAATAATGATGTTCTCAAAGTAAGGTTCAAAATGTAACAAATGCTAAATGGGATGTTTTAAAGATGTCTTTAAATGCATTCTTTGTCAAGGATCTTCAGCTATTTTTAAGGAATATTTTTGAAGAAATATTAGGAGCAGGCAGGTCAGAAGTATCTTACTTTGCACATTTTTAAGCAACATAATTTTATGTAAAGTAATGTAAGTATATTGAACAAATTTTGCCATCTGAATAGTACTTCAATATCAGAATGGTGTAACATTTAACAGAGTCCCATTAAAAACTTCCTTTTTTTTAATTGCCTGTTGGACGGCACACAGATTATTTTTCAAAATAAAATAACTATACATTTTATTGCCATTAAGTGCTTGTTGTATTGGTCATGTATGTTGATATAATGATCATACAAGGATCTTGCACATCTTAATTACAAATTGATTTACAATATTACTCTGTTTTGTCCATATTTATTTTATTTACATTTTTATACTATTTAGTGATTGTTGGCGGTGGTCCCTTGAGGGTTGATTGTGGCCCAAGGGCTGCCAGTTGAAAAGCCTTTTTTTATATGATTGAACTGTTGGTATCACCAAGAACACTAGTGAATTTTCACTACTGGGTCAAGATACAGGTTTGAGAAGGCAGTCACAACTGGACCACTTGTGCAGATACAAATCTTTCAAAGAAAAGCTGGCTTTAAAAGCTCAAATCACATACAGCCATCCCATGTTTTCAGCTATATGCTTGCAAGATAGTATACAGTCAGTGTTTTTAAAATATATTTGGATCATATCTTGGCCATTTCACGATTGTATAGTTATGTAAACATTTTCAAAATACTATTAATCTGATTTATACCATAGGGACCATTCTCTGTACACACCTGATATTTCCAGGGACCATGTGGCTATATTTTGATAAGGCTTTTTCACTCTGAAGTAAATTGTACATGATTGTATGGCCTGCTTTCAATAAAATATACAATACATTAATGATATATTTCATGTTTAGTTGAATTTCCTAATTTTTCTTGTTCCTCAAAATACAGAATACCTGATTAAGAGAGCTTTAATTACAAACTGTAATTTGGAACTATTTGTGCCAGAAATGAGCAACAGACCTGAATAGTATAGAAAATTTTTAGTTCCATCTCTGGTATTAAGTTATCATGGCCCTTCTTTATTTATCAAAATCTTGAGAATATTATGCCATTTTCAGATTTCTATATTATGTTCTTAGTTTGTAAGAAGTATTAATATATAAATTTGTACAATTATTTCCAAAATTTGCAAGTATTCGCATTTCGGAAGTTTTGAAATTAATAAGAACATTATTGGTTTTATTGCACATTTATTTCTGATAAAATATACTTAATATCACACTGTTTCAAGGTTATATGTGGTTGTGCCAGTGCTTTGCAGGGGAAAATATATGTGCTCGTGGCAGTGAAAAGGTTAAAATAGTTTAGTTGGTAATCATAATTTTTTTTTTCCTTAAGGGAATCCACTAGTATAATAGTGACAAGGTTAATACAGAAAAAAAGCTTAAAAATATTTTTTTTTATATTTGTTTTATTATTATTATTTATTCTTATTTGTGTATATTTTTTTTAGTTTGGCATTATAAATATTTCTGTTATAGCATGATTCTCCATTTATGTGGGAACAACCAAGCTGGACTGATTTGGTTAGTATCTTTAAATATGATTTTACTTTAAATATTTTCTTTTTAAGTATTTATGTAGAAAGTTTATTGTTTATTTAGTAAAATTATTGGACACTTTCAGGGTCAGTTTTACTAATTCATTATTTTATATAAACAGTGTAATTATGTGAAAAAGTTGGATCTTTCGTAATGGGAAAAAATTTATCTTGCTGACCAGTTAAGTCCTTTTTTTGTCGTTCTTTTGAATTTGTGATGTTTAGTTTTTTTGTTTGTTATTATATGCATTTTTAGCTCTAAATAGTTTGCACAATACCTACCAGGTTATTTGTTTAAAATTGTAAAATAATGTACAGAATTCTTACCTGTAGCTTAATAATCAGCTATCTTTCACTCAAAATATTTGATTTATAGGGTTTGCATAGAGCCTGGAAATTGTAGAAAAACCTGGAATTGTAGCATACACCTTTAAGTTCATGAAATTCTCAGAAAAAAACAATGAATACAACTTATAAATATATCTTACATTGTTCAACCTGTATTATGCATGGTCACAAAAAGTTAATATATTAAACTTAACAAAACTGATAGTAAAATTTTGTCTTAATTAATGATGATTTCAGAAATTATTTTTAGGTTGAAAGTTTATGACATCATTTTATTTTTCCCACCCTCAATCCCTCAATTATACAATAGTGCTTAACATGAAATTATAGTGACTGAAAATTTGATAGCCTTGCGCTACATTGTTTTTTCTTTTTGTAGCATATATTGTTTTGCAAAACAATTGAGAAATATATTTAGTGACACCAACACTAGCTCAATTGCAAGCTAAAGCACTACTTTCCTCTCTGTAATTTACCTTTTACTATCGATTTTGTTTTTGTATTATTGATTATTGCATGTTTTTAAGAAAACTTATGGCTCACACTCCTGTACTATGTTTAATATAACTTCCATCCATCCAGCTTGGGCCAGGTGGTTATGACACTTGATTTGTAATCTGAGGGTCATGGGTTTGAATCCCTATCCCACCAAACATGTTTGCCCCTTCAGCCGTGGGGGCATTATAATGTGACAGTCAATCCCAGTATTCATTGATAAAAGAGTAGCCCAAGAGTTGACAGTGGGTGGTGATGACTAGCTGTCTTCCCTCTAGTCTTTCACTGCTAAATTAGGGACAGCTACTGCAGATAGCCCTCATGTAGCTTTGTGCGAAATTCAAAAACAAAGAAACTATCTAGCTTATGTTGAACATAAGTGAATATTTAGCATTAATTGAGCTGAGGAATATTTGTTACGAAGGTGTTAAATAATGTTTAGAGTAAAATATTGAAATAAGATCTAATTAATATAGCTTTTCACTTTTTTTTCTTGAATATCAATAGTTATTATTTTCTTCATTAATAAAAATTGCAGTCTAGATTGTCTAGTCTCAGTTTTTTGTTACACCTTTTGTATGAGAAAAGTTGAGTAATAATAAAAAAAATTGACAGATTATAATGCTAAAAACCAGGTTTCAATACTTTTGGTGGATAGAGCACAGGTATCCCATTGTATAGCTTTGTGCTTAATAAACAAACAAGCTTACAACCTGATAATGATATTTTTCAGTCAAAACTTTCATCCATCAAACTAATAATCAGATTTTTTAAAATCAAAATTTGTGTTTACTAACTATTAGGCAGTGTTTTTCTGTTAAGCTTGTAATCAGTTAATTTCATAATTAATTTATAGGTTACATTTAATACTTTTTTTCTTCAAAACATAATTAGCTATTTGTTATGTTTATTTTTTAAATTATAATTCTTTTTTTCTTTTTTAACTTCATTTTGGCCACTCAGGTTTGTTTTAAGTGCTGAATGAAAAGTCTATAGTATAAAGTAGCACTGTTTTGTGCTTATTTGTAAAATTGTTTGGACATGAAAAGTTTTTAAATTCATTACTCAAGATTAGAAGGCTATCTTATTTGATGGTAGAAACATTTTTAAGGGTCCAACATATGTGAATTTGCTTTTAATCACATTTCTGAAAATTAATATTTTTTGTTTAGGAAATACATTAATAATCATGTATTTAGGTTTATTTTGTATACGATTTATTCATTATTGTCATAATCGATTGAGAGTTGTTTGATAGGCTACATAGCAATATTGTCTTTATGGGACAACACATGTTTTTGTCTTCATGTATCAATATTTTCTTTGTCATCAACTGATTTGTGAGAGGTTTTTTTGTGTCGAATTAAAATTGTTTTCATAAAACGTACAGTTCAGAATTACATGTGTTGAAGCATACTCTATAAATCAAAGAAATAAAAAAGTGATACTCTGTACGTACAGTCATGATCTGATTGTAAAAAGCATGATGTTTAAGAACTGTACTTTCAAAATACTCAGATATAATGGATTGAGAAGTAATACTGAAACTATGAAACATTTAATCTTGTTGTATGAAAGTGAAATTAAATAAAATTTAAGGAAAGATGTGAAATTTGGTTGCCAGCTATATTATCTTTACATATAAAGGATGTCTATAAATGGTTGTACATATTTCAATACTTAGTAACTGTTGAATGAAGAATGATAAATCCATGCTGTATAGTTCATGTTGGTTTATAAAAACATTTATTCCATCTCACCAGTTTTCACTTAAATGAAGATTCAAGATTTTATTAACAGATAGTGCCAAAATGTTGACTTTTTAACTTGTTATTTTCAGGGATTGTATCAGGAAAACAATCTGCTACTCCAGATACATTTTTCAATGTGTTTACAACTAATGAAGTTACTTGTGGAAGTACACTGTGGGGTTAGGTTGTATAAAATTTCAGGGTATATAGATCAATTTGTGCTTTACTACATTTCTGTGTTTCTTAATTTAAAAGTTATATTAAAATGTGTACAACCCTGAATATAAATAAAAGAAAAGATACAAGGTTGGTAATTCCTGAAATGTATTATTTAAAGAAGCTTCCATTCTGTGTTTTGTAACAGAATTGTTATAAATTTCAAAAATATATTGGTGAGATGGATACTTCTTACATATTAATACCTTTTTTACACCTTATGCCCACAAAACTGATACTGTTTGTTGCAACTTATGATCTGTGTTTAAGTTGTCTTCTAAAAAACTTTATTATGAGAATTGGAGAATTAAGGTAGTTTTCACTATTTGATTAAAGTAACCTAAGAGTTGGTGGTGGTTGCTGTTGACTAGCTGCCTTCCTTTTATTCTCATCAATTCAAAATTAGGGATCACTAGCAGAGGGAGCTGTTGAGTAGTCTTGTGCTAATATCTGAAAACGTACAGTCAGGATAAAGTGAGTTTTAACATAGGATTCATAATAAATAAAATTACATTTCAAAAGTAATTATTGGGAGAACACCTGTTTATTATAAAATATTCTAAGCTCCATTGAGTTCTTTTGATTACTTGAAAAAGTACTCTGGACATTTTGGAGATTAGTAATTAACCACTACTTCAAACTTTATCAGGACTGGAAGGATAGTGATACAACTGGCAATTGGAGGAACACACAAAATGGTGCACTACCCAATCTTTCTAGCAAGACTAACCCATTCCTAGCATCCCCAGCTACTGACACTCTTCCGGCTGCATCTGATCATGAAAAAATAGTTGATCTTTTTTCTTTATCTATAACTGAAGGACATGTTTCAGAATCTAATCTTGAAAAAGCAAGTGATGATCTCCTTGGACTTAGTGTCAATCCTTTTGCAGATAGCTTAATGAATAATAATGAAAGTCAACAGAGTTCTCTGTTTGCACCATTTGGAACTAATGGTAAGGACTTGTTCTAGTGGAACTAAGAAAGTTCTAGACCTTTTGTTTTTTATTTTGGTGGTTAGAATAAAAGTGCTTTTCCCAAACTATAGTGAATTACAAGGTAATAAAATATTATATCTCTGATTTAAAGACATTTAGTTAAACACAACAAAAGAAATATTTGGTCATTCAACACCAAATTATTGCATTTTAGGGTAAATTTTAATATGACTTCACAAATTTGCTTCACATTATGCATAGTTTGTGTGCTTTATGAGGTATGGTTGGAACAAAAATTTTGAGTTACGAGGTAATATAATTTTCTAGTTATAGGCCATTAACATCTGACGTAAATTTGCTGACTAGCAGTGTTAAAATTGTCATATCTGTTTTCCTTTTGCACCCAGGAAGATGATTCTTGTACCATTTTCAAACTTTTTTAAAGGCCATTTTTTATTTAATTATTTCCAGGTAAAAGTATCAAAACTGACAAACAAAAATGTTCTTTTCAGAGCTGACCTGAAATTGAAGATCACACAATTTGCAACTTTTGTTGTTAATGTCCTCTGGCAAGTTTTAGACTGGACATTTTAGTACTTTGTAAGTGGCAGATTATAGTGAGCTTGTAGCATTGATGAATGATTTTCTTGCATTTTACTCTTGTTCAACTGATCTAAGATGTTTGCTGATAGGCTTTTCTTTTCAGTGTGAAAAATGGTTATATTACTCACTAAATCTTCAGTTTGGATCTGCTGTAGAGCAGCTGCTTTCTTCTTTCTATTTGCTGCACAGGGTTATTGAAGATGTTCAGAGAATCAATAGGAATTGAAAGGACTGTTAGTATGCAAGAATCTTACTCCAACTTCACAGGCTCTGATATTGCCTTTATGATGCAGGCTAACCATCAGTGGGCATCATATTAAACTATGCTGTAATTTTAGATGGCTCCAAATTCATTGATGTTTTCTAAAACTGAAACCATCTCTTCTCGTTTCTTACCACATGCTTATAATTCACTAACTTCAGCTTCTTGGAAATAGGCTGAATAGTCTGTGAAGTATCAAATCATAATTTAAGAAGCAATGTCACATTATCATATTCTTAAATTGTTGTATTGAAATTCACTGGCTTGATGTCAGAGCACTCAAACTGATGCAGATGATGTGGCATCTGATTATTTGTTGGTGGTAAGGCCTTTTCAAGGCTTATTTTTAAAGTTTATTGTTTAGAGTGAATTTAGTTTTTCATGTGTTCACCAAAGGATCTTTCAAGCCTTTCCAGGAGCTACTTTATTAATGGATATTCTTCACACTTCTGCATGAAGCAAGCAATGGTTGAAGGGCTATGCTGGATTGCAGCAAAGCATTGACAACAGTTATAGATAATGAAGATCCTCTTTACTTAAAAAGGTCTTATCTTTACTCCTAGAGCATTATTTTGTATTTTGATAAATTGTACTTATGTAAATTGATAGTATTTTAGATTCTTCAACAAGGGTGCATTGTTTAGGACAATTTGGCATACTCTGAGAATCCAAATTTCACTTCTGGATTCTTTGATGTAAGTTGCTCCAATGCCTCTTTTTCCTGATGCTCAATTTTTTGGGAAGACTGTCAACACTGAAACCTTTTCCATTTTTATTTTATGAAATATTTGAATTTCTTATAATTAGGTAATTATTTCACCATCTGTACTATAGTAGGTAGTCCTTCAGCTGGCTGACAGGGCTTCCTGTAACATGCTTCAAGATTCTATTCACAAAAGTCTCTTCCTTCCTTCCTTTGCACTTAGTTTAGTAGGTGTGTATTTCAGCTTTTATATATTGGAGGTTCTTCCAGCAAGGAAAGTGAGAGACTTGTAAATAATTGAGAGAAATCAGCATCTATAGGAATAAACACTATTATTCCTTAACCCACTAGCTTCATGTTCACTTAACCAAGTGTTAGGTGAAATTCTGGATACCTCTTTCTTTGAAGGTCCATTTGGAGATAAGTTTACAACTTTTTTGAATGCCTTGATTTATATATTAGTTCTTTGAGTCCTTTGCTTTTCAATTGTTTGTGCCCTTTAAAGGATCACAGCAGTACTTTAGTCACTTGTAAAACTCATACTCATCACTAGACATGACTGCTGAACTAATTGCTAAGATAGACAGGAGTGTACAAATGTACCAAAAGGCACATCATTATGAACAAGACCACTAGTGAAATACCCAAGATTTGTCAGGCCCACAAAGTTCCCATTCATGTTGTCCAGAATTGGATTGCATCAACATTATAGCTGAGCATAGGAAGATCCCAACTTTGCTGTCCTCTTGCTCCTTCATTTGACTGCTACTCAGAAGCTGTTCGAGCGCTTATTTTGAAATTGTCAGGGAATATTAGCAGTACTATAGACTGCAAATGGTGCAGGTTTTGTGTCTTTCAATTTTTCTGCATAAACAGAGGTCAAGATCAAAAGCCAGTTCTGAAGATAAATGTTTTGTTTTTTCATTTGAAAATATTGGCATTTAAGAAAGCTTCAAAATGGTACAAGGGTCATTTTCAGTAGTGCAATAGAACAGAAAATATGGCCAGTTGAATGTTGCCAACAAGTAAAATTACATCAAACTTTGGCCTGTATCTCAAAAACTAAATGATCTAAAGACCTATAATTTTGACTCTGTCAATAAAGGGGTTCAGGATAATAGCAAGAAAGAATTAAAAATAATTGGCTAATTTTCATATCTTTAATTTTAGTACATACACCTAACCTGTCTATTACTTTAAATGCTTTGTGTTTAGTAGATAAGATGTGAATACCGATTGGTAGTTGTTGATTATTATTATGATTATTTTTTTTTATATAATGAGAAGATAATACAAGCTAGGGTACTTTAATTGTACAATTAATATAATTCCAAGTACATTTCCAAGTTTTTTTCGTTGATAAAATGTGCTTGTCATTGTATGATCTAAAATTTTGGCTCCAGTTATATCTTGTGAAATGCACCAACTGTACAAAATTTCAAGAAAATCTCTGATGGTTTTGTCTGGTGAGTGTGATTTGTTGTGTAATGCCTTGCTTCTGTAAAAATTACTTTTAAAATTCAGCCAACATTATTTAATTGGTAGTATACAGAGTTTTTACCATTTGATATGTCTTACAAAATTTTCCTGCAAAAACATCTTTATATTACCATTTATTGGTGGATTTTTTAAATCAATTTTGTTTTTGTTAGATTAATGCTAGAATTTAATTTAGAAAAATGTAAATAATCCAGGGGTGTTAGCATCGACAACAGCTCCTTCCGCTTCAATTGATCTGTTTGCAACTGATGATTCTTTTGCTGCTGTGTTCGGAAATGGTATGTTTTTGAGATTATTAACCATTTTTGTGTCTAGTTATTTAGAAACCATCATATTTGTTGATGCAACATATTAAGGTCATATAATAATGTTTGAAAGGTCACCAAATGTACATTTAGTTAAAGTGCAGTATCTGTTTAGCTGCTTGTGTTGGGATGACACAATATAAAAGAGTATATAAAAAAGGATGTTATTCTTCAGATTATTATAACTTGTATCTTGTTTAAACTGAAACTTTTGGCACTAACACGTTTGATACACAAATATTCTAGTATGTCCTGAACTCTTATTTTCTGTTGAAGTTTTTTTATTTTGATTGAGGCTCTGTTTGTCTATGGTAGTTGATTTTTATGAAGCAGTGATAACCAGTGTAATATGCATTTAATTTTAAGTCAAGGGGACAATTTCACCTGCAATTCCAGAATTAAGGTTAGGGGGGTATTTATATTAGTGATGTGTAGATTAATTGATTTAATAAGTAGTTTATTAGCCATAAAACTAATTAATAGGAATGATAATCTTTATGCCTCATAGCTCACAATTAGGATGTGGTTACAATAACTTAATCTGATATTTTGTAGTGTTACTGGCTAGCATGGAGTGAATTAAAATTTATATATTTGAAGTAAATATTATGGATGTCAGTATTATGAAATTCAAAAAAGTAAAAGAAGAAAAATAATAACAGTGATAACAAATTCTATTCTTGAATGTGTGTCGAAGTTAGTTGTTCATCTTCTGTATCAGTGCTTTGTTTCTTGGCAGCTTCTTCAATAGTAGCAGCCCCTGCTTCCACAAACATTACCACAAGTATGTATGATGTGATGTTTCTTGTAATTTTTTTTATATGTTCATACTAAAGAAAGCTTGTAGTTTCACGGTGAGATAACTTAGATTTTTTTATAATTTGAGGTATTCTTATATAAGCTGTAACAATAAATGTTAAAGTATAATATACGAGTAAAATATATGAAAAGTAGTTTCATGATTCTTATATAACAAGTATTTGTAATATAAGCTATATTTTTATCAGTATTTTTTAGTGTTCTCTAAAATTGGTTGAGGACTAGCCTATTTTAAAACTTAACAATAGAACAAAATAAATAATGAGAATGACTACATACTTTCTTTTGATATTTTAAACAACAACCAAAACCAAACAGATAATACCCAGTAAGATTTTATGAAAATGATAAAAGTACACACATGGTTTTATGATTCAGGCTTTCTTGGACATTTCATTATTGTACTCAACGGATGAACTGTAGATTCAAAGTATTACTGAATGATTCGTAAGGTAAATGAATTCTTTTTGAGGTGGTTGTAAGTGGCCTGAGCCATGAATTGGATATTACCTTTTTGAATGTCTGAAACTGTGGATATTATATATTGTACATGATAAATATTTGCTTCAGAATTTAGTTTTTATTAAGTTTGTGCTGATTTTTGAAAAATATTTATGTGAGATAAACTACACCAAATTCACTTAGAAGTATCCTGTTTCTTGTCAGATTCTGGAATTTCCAATTTTTGGAAAATATCATGATTATTGAATATACTTGTAAAATTTACTTTAAGAATATGTATAAGCACTATAAATTAACCATGTATGCATTCCAACTAGTAAACTTTGCTTCTTCCTTGAAGATAGTAGTTATCCATTGATTTTGGCAACAATATATTGCTTTCTACCTAAATTTGAGGTTATTACTTTCTAACACGTTATCATACGTATTACTAAGTACTCCCTTTTTAAACATTTTATCTACAAGCATGACAGATGGATTCATCAGAAGTGATTTTTAAGTCTTAAAAACTGTGTATGCACTTGGCAGATATGCAGTTAATTGTGATAAAAAAAATTGTGATCACAAAAAACTAAATATGGAATTTCTTTAATATAGAACTACTAGACAAAATTATCAAACCAAAGTAATTAAGTGAGCTTCAGGTAATAAAATTAAGCTTGGAAAGAGAGGAATTTTTTTTTATAAAAGTAGTAAACTAATTTCTGACAAATGTCCAATAATATAGTCAGTGGTACCAAACTTTTCTTGTTTAAACCCTGTAAAAAATGTCACAAATTAAAAATCTTTGTGTGCAAGTTTTAAAAATAATTTTTGTTAATGCAAAACATTTGTGTATATACAGATACAATGTTGGTGTACTTTGGTGACAGATTTTCTTGTAGGCAGATTTTGTTAAACAAGACTGATGTCTGTTGGTTTACTTTCTTCTTAGAATTCTTCTCAAGAAGTCGATAAGCCGTCTTAACGTTGTTAGAAC